TGTTTTTCAGTTTTTCTTGCATTGTCTCAAACTTGGTTTCAAAACAACCGTTGAAGTCTGAAGATCAATAATTGTTTTAAAAATCTTGCCTTTTATGTTATTGCAAATTATGGAATAATCAGTTCGGTCAAGCCTATTCAGAAACAAGGGACACAAATCTGTCACTTGTCTCTGATTGTGACCAAAATTGATTTGTATATTTATAATAATCAGCTGAGGAAACGTATGACATTTGGCTTGATTCTGCCTATGTTAGCTAAAATGTCTAAAATGTAGTTATTCCTTTCTAAGAATAAAAACAATAAAAACATGACATTTGTTTCAAATTATGCCTCTTAATGAGAATTGTCACTTTGCAAATATGTGTAGGTTGTACTGTACATGAAATCCTATTACTTGATTTCAGCAAATTTTGTTCAGAGTAACAGTTTTTCTCTGGCCACCAGAGGGAGCCAAATCAGTAACTGCACATGTCATTGTTGACATACATGGAAAACTTTACTGTATGTCTTCAAGCGAAGAGCATTTCTGAATGTTATGTTTTCCACTAAGCCTAACAATTTTGCAAATACAAGTCTCAAAAAACTTTCAGTAATATCACAGTTGAAAAAAAGATGGAGAATAGACATTTCTTACTAATTCTTGAGTGTGAATCATATTTAAAACAATCATATTGAAAATATCATGGCTTAAGCACAGTGTGGCTGAAGATTTGAATAAATTAGTGTGAATTGGCTTATTCTGCTAAAAATACACCAGTAATTGTTTGAATATAACCAAATTTGACATGAATATACAAAATGACAAATTAAGAGTGTATTATGATGATTTCATTTGGCATTGTACTTCTCAGTAGTCACAGTAATTGCAAGGTGTGAACTAATTCCCAAAATAGTGCTTGGTTCCTTATTGCTCCGTACCAATAAATTCTCTCTCTCAAAACAGGTCTGCTGTGGGCGTCTTGTAGCTCACCATGAAAACATCTGCCTTTGAAGATTAAGCTCATGGGTTTGATTCCCTGTCACAGATGTTGCATGGTGCTGTAGCAGTTGTTGTGAACACATGCTTAATTATCTTAATCTTAATGAAAGGTCTTTCTTAAAAATCCAACAACCTGCTGCCTTCTATGTCCAGAGACATAAAATTTATTTATGCTGCTACTCTTTCCTAAAATGGCGTGTGGTTCCTTGTTGCTTCCTTTCAATAAATTGTTTCAAAAACTGCAATTTTGCCGCAGATGTCTTGTGGGTCACCGTTAGAGCCTCCACCTTTGAAGTCTAAGGTTGTGGGTTCGAATCCCTATCATGGATGTTAAAATGAGTTTCATAGATTGTAGCAGATGTATCACCTAGTGGGCTTAATCATAGAAAAAGGAGATCTTTCTTAGAAATCTAAAGATCTGCTGCCTTCTACGACCAGGGGCCACTGCTTTACTACTCAATGTCTTCCTGGTGCTTGGACCCCGCAGATTGCCGCTTGCGGCTATATTTTTTTGTTTGTTTTTTGTTTTGTTTTTGCCCTGCAACAGTGGATATTTTCATTTTTAAATATGCTATTGGATATTATCTTGAAAATTTGAGTATTTGGGTATAAGAAAAATTAAGTTGTGTTGCACCACTTCATTTTAAACATTTATAAATTAATAATTAGTTTTAAAAAAATTAATTAATCTGCAATTATTTTCTTAATCTACTTGTAAAACCTTGGCCTCCCACTCCACAGTATAAACAGATAGATACTAGATGTACATTATCTTCGGTATAAATAAACGGCAACGAGATTACAGTTGACAGAAATCATTATCTGTACTTTTTTCATTTATAACCAAAGCATACATCAAACACAGCTCTCATAAATGACTGAGAAATTTGACAAAATTGAATTTGACTTCCTATTAGAATGTTCAGTTCCACCTTAAATAATGCAGCAACTACAGGGGTCCGATTGTAACTGTTGCTCCACTTGAGAATGGAAAATTCAAACAGAGCTGCTGAGAAAGAAGTCTTACTTCAGCCTCATTGAAATTCAGCTGTGAAACAGTTTTAGCAATGTTTGTGCTGGGCTGAAAGGGTTAATGTTAGAAAGCAATATTAACGTAGCTTGATCTGTATATTGTCCAGTTTTCATATATATATATAATTTTATTTTAAGAAACCAAATTATGTGTATGCATATTTGGCCTTGTCCCTTGCATACAGAGATTTCTCCAGATTCTCTGAATATTTTAATGATATTACGTACCGTAAATGATGAAAAGCAAAAGTTCTTTTTGCACAGCAAAAAAGTTCATTTTGCACAGCATCCCAACTTTTGTGGAAATGGGATTGTATACACACACACACACACACAGATTGGCAAAGTCCACCTCCTTGCATGTACACTCATTGTCCATTTCATCAGCTCCACTGACCATATAGGAGCATTTTGTACTTCTACAGTTACAGACTGGAGCTCCTGGAGTTCTAAACAGTTTACATGTGTCTTGTAAGGTTTTATATGTCTTGCTGATAATGGTAAAATAGTGCTAAATTGAAGAAAATACGTTTTCTTTGGGTACTGTTTTTTTCTTGTAATGCCCTGCGTGTACCTCAGCCCCCTGAATTTTTTTTGGAGAAGGGTCTGGCTGCAGGGCCGCAGGTTTACACACCCGCAGTTTCCCTCCAGCAGAAACTGGAATCAAAGTAAGAAACGTTTGTGAGGTGAAATAAATTAGTCGTCATTAGCCATCGTGCATATGTCACTGTTAGCCCTTAGCTTAGAACAGAAAAAAAAATCCTACCCCATAAACTGGTAAGCGGAGTAGCAAGTAGTTTGTTGTTGACACCAGCACTTTCTATTTGCCTTGGGTTGCTCTGCATCGGCGCCAGCAGGTTCAGTGTCTCTCTCTCGCTTTTGGCTCTCTCTCTTTTTTAAACCGCTGCAACTCCTTTGTGTTTCCTGGTTCAAATTCATATGGATCTACGACTTTTTGGAAACAAGTCTCCTCGAAGTCCTCCGCATACTCTACAATCTTCCAAAATAGGTAAGAAAACTGTAAAAATAATAAAAATAAAGCTGCTGCTAAACAAAGCTGTCACGTGGCCCTGTAAAAGCAAAACTGTTTTACAGTGTGGTTGAGAATTCTCTGACTATTTTTGCACAGTGTAGGAAGAAAACTGGTTTACGGTGGCACAGAAGCCGCAGAGAAAAAGTAATTGGTAATATCATATAAATATCATCATGTCTTCTTTTTAAAGGCAGAGCGTTGTCAAGGTGCAAAGAACAGGCCTTTGCTTGCAACTGTTCACTCTCTTGGATTTAGCTTGACAAACAAAAATTTGCTTCTTGTCACACTGAAAGAAACTGCTGCATGGGTAACATGCAGTTTCATTGTTGTTTAGTTCACTTTTGTTGTGGCAATCTTACGTTTTACTGTTTTATTACAGGAGAATCCTAAAGGAGTAGTTTCCTTGACCAAATGTGGCTCTAAATTGGCACTACAACACCACCATCTTCCAAGAATGTGTTATTTTTTTATTGTTATTATTTTCATGTTATCGTTCATGAGTTTGTGTTTAATAAATGTACAGAAATACACATGTATTGTTCATGTTAGCATTATAATTTGTCAATTAACAATTCTTATGTCATGAAAAGTATTCTCTATAAGGTAAGATGATTGTGATAGTGTTGACTGCTTACTGTTCTTAATTCTTTATTCATTCAGTCTTACAATTTCAATGCATCTTAAAGACTAGCTAATTTATCTATTTACATCCTGTATAGTTTACAGTATAGTACAGACAGCTTATTCATTTATTAAGATTGTATAGATTGCAATAGCAATATGAAGTAATGTGCCTTGATTTATAGTGTAAAATGGAATTTAGAAACATTTGTCAGTTACACCATACAGCTGACCCTGTTTTAGGAAATGGGATTTATTTATTAATTTAATTAATTTATTAATTTATTCAGTTTATAACAGTTAAAGCATGTTATTCTGTGTTTGTACATTTGTCAACTGAATTCAATATAATTAAGCATGATTGTTTTTGTTTTTTATTTTAGTTTATATGACTGTAATGTTATTGTCTCTGTTAATAGACTCTTCTATTAGAAATATATTAATACAGTAACAAATATTTTCTGTGAAGAAATTGTGTATCTCTGTGGTTGTTAGCTCTTGGAGTACCCCTTGCCCTGTATATGTTAGTGTTTTTCCTGATCCAAACACACCTGGTGCAACTAATCAGCTATATATCAAGCCCTTTGTGAGTTAAAGTGGGTGTGTTGGAGCAGGAAAAACACTCAAATCTGCAGAACAGGGGTATACAGGGCCCAGGGTTGGGTTTGTAACATATGGAAATTTAACAACCATTCTACCTTTTCAAAAACGTTTAATAACTACATATTGTACATATTGTTGTTATATTGTGATGAAAATAAATAACAATTCCATACATTCTAATATAATGTTACAATAAATAAAAAAGGACAAATTAAATTGCTACAGGCAAGAGGTGATGCGAATCCGGTCCAGAGCTGATCCATATGTAAAATAAGCATAATGGATGTGGCCCACATCTGGGCCACATGAGTAAACATATCATTGAGAATTGGTCTGATGCTGGGCCAGTGTTAGCCCACACCTGCAAACCGGATCCGTAACAGTACTGCCTCGTTGTGCCAAAAGAAACAGGGCCGGACCCGTTTTACGGATCTGGCCCGGAACTTGTGAGGGATTTGGGCCAGATCATTTTTACTATTTGGGTATGAAAATAGTGGGTGCGATGTGGGCCAGATCTGAGCCAGAATCATTTTGCCGTCTAAAATGAGTCTGGCGTGGATCTGTTCCAGATATGGCTCACATCTTGTGGTCAGCTTCTGGCCCAGGTTAGGCCCAGTTATGTGTATCACTTTTGGCTGACTTGTGGCCCTAATCTGGTATGGATGTGGCCCACATCTAGCAACCAGGAGCGGTCTGCCCAAGTGCTCGTCAATCCATGTGGAAGGTGGGCCGGATGAAAATGGGGGATGTGGGCCAGATCTGGGCCAGAATAATTTTGCTATCTGTGTAATTGCGTATTAGTGTTTGTGAGTCTGTGTCTCTAATGCTGCCCTCTACTGACTGAACAAATATTAAATCTTTCTCTCAGTTACACAGTTCACTGTGTGAGAGCTTTTATTTGCTTTTGTTTGACATTGTTTGACATTCTAAATGTATTTCTAACAGGAAGTTTCCTCTCTGAAGAACAGCATTCAGGATATGAGGATGTGGATGAGGAGCTTCCCGCAGGTCAGAGGACCAGAACGTGTGTGTGTGAAACTACATTCAACAGAGAAATATTAGAAGTATAATTGTAGAAATACTCAAATAATCAAATTAATTCATTAGTCAGTACTTCTAGGCCACCATGTTAGTCTTGGAATTACCAATGTGCTATAAATTTGGTTTTACAGTTTGAAAGATTCGGTTGTTCTGTTTTATTTCTGTTCTATAGCTGATTATACTGGACACTCTCACATCAGTGCAGTGTTGTGCAGGCTGATGTCATCCATGCATAAGTGTTGAGATTGACACATTTCCATCTCCTAAAATTAAAATATCATAGCTACTCTGGAAATGAGCTTCTGCAGGACCATCCAACCTCTGAGATTAATCTTATCCAGAAGCTTCCTTTGGAATAACATTTATTTTATAAAGATTAATGGAGAAATTAACTTTTTTCTTTCTCTTCCAGCAAAGGCTGTGAATGAGGAAAAAGCTGAATATTATAATGATGTCACCATCAGTGGCCTGAAAAGTGGGTGCCTTTATAGAGATCACTGAAAGATTTTAGGAAAAGTTCTCTGAATTCATTGTAAAAACTGTTTTCTATTTGATTTAGGTGAGGTGGGAACAGAGGACACTCCAGAGAACTATGATGATGTCATCTCAAACTTCGGAAGAATTAGCAAGTGTGTTTCTATTTAGTAATTTTTGCAATGCAAAATCAGTCAGTCATACAGCTGCAATTTTTTTTTTACTGTGATCATTGTCATGAGACATAAATGTCAAATTAAGTTTAAAAATCAAGCTTTCTGACTCTGATACTGGCATTTATTTCTACATTTTGACAGAGAACGAGGTGAAGATCTATGATGAGGCCATTCCTACTGGAGAGAATCTACACATTACAGCAGGTTTGTGTCTCTAGAAAGTCATTGTGAACTCATCGTGAACCAGCATCAGTTCAGTAATGAAACCATGTGATGCTTACTGTATCAAAATTTGTCTGCATACATTGATGCAGTGTACTCACCAGAGAACTCTGATGATGTCATCACTCCTGGACAGGAGTGGACAACAGTTCAATAGAAATAGTATCTATCAATGTATAATTATTCTTCTTGTTTTACTTTCAGGCTGTGATGATGTGGTAGAGGTGTCTAAGAAAGAGGGACAGACCACGTGACAGAGACTCAAACAATACCAAATGTGTTATTTTTTTTTTTTTTGTTTGTTTTTTGTTTTTTTTGTATTTTGTATTCTTTTGTGACATTTCTCATTAAACGTTTTTCTTTTTAAAAAGGAAAATTAAAATGTTTAGCTCATCATATTCTAAACCACTTTGCCTTTTTTTCCATGTATAACATAAAATGTTTACATGACATTTAAATTTTATTTCATTGTCTGTCAAATTTAAACTGTTATTTGCAAGTGTTATTTACATTTAATTTCTTGCTTCATTAATTTGCTTTGTTGCTCTTTGTATCTGCTCATCAGTCAGGCTACACATTCTGTATTATGCAAATGATTATTCAGTTCGGTCTTAATTGTATAGTATAATAAGTAAACAAACAGATCTCCACACATCACTCTACAGAGCAGAGATATGGGAAGGTGTTTAAGTTGAAGATGCTGAAAGCTATGAGGATAAAAGTGATGAACATCAAGATGCATCCTAAATACTGTGAGTTTGTTTTTTTTTTTTCACCCTTTCAAATTGTTTGGAGAGAGACGACACGATACAGCTGTACTCATAAAACCAGCGCAGCAGTCACAGCTGTTGCTCACTCTGCTGTCTCTGCAAATGAGCTGAGCACTGACCAATCAGATTGTTAACATCAGGAGATAAACTGCTTGTGTTACAAGCTACACTTGCACATCTAGTGGGACATTAAAAATAAAATTTGTCATTTTTAAAACAATGTTTTAAAAGCACACAGAACTAGCCTACAACTCCAGCTTGTACGTTAGAGGCACAAAATATTTTAAGGTCTGTTTCTTTGTTATTCTTTTTCTTTTAGCAGCTGCAGTTAAATAATCCTGAAATCTGGAGGTGCTGCAGCCCCCTCAGCACCCCTACTTCCCAAGTCCCTGTGACAGAGTGTATTTTTCATGATCAGCATTTCAGCCATTGATAAAGTTAAAATATTTTTGTGACACTTTACTATAGGTGAGTGTTCATAAGGCTGCCTTTCATAAGTTACAAAGTGTGTGTAGGTTTACATCAGCTGTCATGAAAGGCTTATGCACTTGTCATGTATGAACATGATCTATGGTAAAGTGTCACAAAAAAGTTAAACTGAATGTGTTTCAGTTTGCTTAAATGTATTTTTATTTAAAATTAATACAGAATTTGGTTATTACTGAGACTAAATTTTGACTCTGAATTTTCTGAGCACATGTTGATAAACAGTAAATGTGATTCTAAACCAAGGTGTTCTACTTATAAAGAGGTGGGATCCTCTTGTTTAAAATGACTCACAAGCAGTTTTATAAAGTGAAGAACAGAATATAGCAAGTCTCCTAATAAAGTGTGATTTTTGTCATTAAAATATTGTCTTTCCTGTTTTAATCTCTGTATTTGAGAAAAAGTATTGGCAAAAGTTGACTTTGATGAAAAACTGTATTAAACTGGAAAACATCTCATACACATGTCATATGCTCGTCATTACTGACACAACAATTATTGATAGCAAAGAAACTTGAAAAGAATTTTGAGGGTTTTCAAACTCTTTCATATTTAAATAATATGAATAAAACATACATTAGGATGTTTAGACATTAAACAAAATATGTAATGTAAGCTATAAAAAATAAATAGTAATGTACACTTGTGCAGTAATTTAATTTTATTTATTAAGTAACAAAATATAATCAATGAAGAATTGTTTATTTTTACCACCAATTTTAATACAGTCAGTTAAATGAATGTTACATCTGTATAAATGAATATGTACATTTAAACTACATGTAGTATGTTGTACTTCTTGTATCAGTAGGCAGGTGAAGTTAAACTATCATCATGTAGAGCTCATGGTTTTGCAGACACAAGGGTTGTAACCCAATTGATCTCAACAACTGACCTTAACAATTTAAAGAATCTGTGGTAAAAGCCTGGAAAAAAGTAAAAAAAAAAAAAGAATGCAATGCAGTGGGCTGCCAAATAAGTGACAAGTAAGGGATATGCAACCTGATAATAAGTGTTATTTATTTTAATTTCCTTTAAGACTATTTGTTTCTATACTTTTGGTCACCTAAATATTTGGTGGTCTGCCAACAAAGGTGCCATGTCCTAAGTTGTTTAACACAGCTCTATTGTCTCATATTCATAATTTCATCTCAAACCCAAATGTCTTCAGTGTATACCAAAAACAAAAAAAATGACTTTGTCACTCCACTTTCATAGGAGACAAACTTCACCTTTAAAAAGCACATATGGGTCTTTCATATGCAAAAAATATTTTAAAGTTCTGTTCTTTTGCTGTTTTTTCCATCATTGTTTTTAGATGTTGCAGTTAAACAGCCTTTCCCACTTCCACAGAGACTATTTTACATAATCAGCATTTCAGCCAAAAACATTATATAAAAAAATCAAACCTGAATGAATAATTTAGTTTGCTGAAAATTAACTATTGATTTCAAAGTGAATACAGAACATGAGTGTTACTGAGAATGAATTAAGTTGAAATTTTGAATTTATCTCCCCTGAATAAAACTACTGAATGTTGTTCATTCAACAGCAGTAAATGTGATGAACACCTCTGACAGGACTGTATTCTTTTTGGTTAACATGACCATCACAAGCAGTGTTATATTATACCTAAAACATTATACAGCAAGACTGATAATAAAGTGTGATTTTTGTCATTAAAGATTTAGAAAGTTTCTTCTTCTGTTTTTATACCTGTTGTAACATGATAGAACCAGCCAGATGCTCATGGAAAAAAGAGTGAGTGGTCCTTTTTAGATTAAATAAACACTCAACAGTGAGTACCATGTCAACAACATATCACTGATGTGGCAGCAGTGAATACATTCAGTAGATTATCAACAGACTTTTACTTAACTTCATAATGCTGTTGTCAGAAGAAAACCTCGTATCTCCAAAATGATAACTTTACAGAAGGAAAAAACCTACTTTACTTCTAATGTAAGTCAATGGAATCAGACTTTTTTCCAAGTCATTTTGGGTAATTTCTGTCAGTCCATTCATCATGAAATTTACATACAACGTAAAGGGTAACAGGTTTTTACAAGTTATGTCAAAAATGGAGATATGAGGTTTTCTTCCGACAACAGTGATAAATAAAAGTTGTTTATGATCTGCTGAATTCAGTTGTTTTTCACTTTATTTGGAATGTGCAAGTTCATATCTGTAGATGTGAACCTGAGAGGCCACTGAACATGTAACAGGTTTAATACAGACCATCTAAACATCCTCAACAAGCTGTTATAGACATGCTGCTGACACCACTCTGTAACTGGAGCTTAACTGGATTAAGTTCAGGTTAAGTTATTGTTAGTATTAGGTTATGGGATGAGGTTAGGGTTATGATTAGGGCCATGGGGAGGATGAGGGTTAGGTTTTAAGTAAGGTTGGGTGAGATAAGGTTTTGCGCAATAGAAGTAACATGTTAAATCTACTTCATGTAACACATTAACAATACATCTACTTAATGTAAGTAATGTATCAACAGAACATCTGCAAGATATTTACCTCAATGCCTTATTACTGCTACGTCACTGATATGTTGTTGATGTGTTACTGATACTTTGTTAAGAGTTTATTAATCATTTACCACTCAAAATAAAGTGTTACCTACAATAAATGAGGCTTTACTTGTAGAGGGTTTGACAAGATTCATAGTCAGTGAACAGGTGTGGGTCAAATCCAAAGGAGCAAAAAGACAAAAAAGGACAAACATAAGAAAAGCGACCAGATTCAAAAGGGCAAAGTCAAAGGCAAACTAGACTGGTCATATGACACACAGAACAGGTGCAAAACATCAGTATTTTGGTGATTGTGAGCAGTGATTGGAGGATTGGGGAAGTTCAACAGTCACGTGATCTCCCACAGGATTCTGGGAACTGTATATATATATATATATATATATATATATAAAGAAATAATAAGTATATAAATGTACTGTGCAGAACAATGTGCCATGTTTCTTTAGGTTTGTTATGTTTCCTTATAATATATTCCTGATTGACAGATGGGCACAAAATATAAGTTTAGATATTAAATATTGTCTCCACCTTTTATCTACTTCAGTACTACACAATATTAGATAAGATAAGAATACATGTTAGATGTTAGATACATTGGAAAAGATTTTTTTTTTATCAGTCTGAAAACAAGCAAAAATCCCAGGAACACCTTGAATACATAGGAAGCTATCAGCCACAAACAGAGTGAACCAGCTGGTATCACTGTGTTGGCCTGTTGCCTGCATCTACATAAAGGAGTTATTAAGACAGGTACTTACGTGCCATCCCCACATTGATGATCACTGGTGCTTCATAGGATAATTTTATGCTACGTGAAGATGCTCAAAATACAAAGATGCTAATGAGTGTTCTACTGCAGAGGAATCTCCAAACACAACAACTCTATGAAATGAAACCCTCCCCTCCTGTACAGTAGACTAGGACATTCACACTTCCGCCATATGCTATTCTTTGTTTTTACAGATTGGGTTCTTCATGAAACTTTATTCAAATCATAACATATAGCTTGACTATGCCGCTGTGGAATGAATGAGATCAAAGCCTTTGGTATCACTGATCAGGCCTGTCATAGACCAATGTCCGATTCCACCCCAAAACTTCCAAAAATCAATGAACAGCAGAAAAGATACCCATCTCACAGTACACCCACAGCATTCCCAAAGCACAGTAATGTTACTCACCTCAAATGGCTGAAACAGCCAAATAAAACAGTTCTGTTCCTCAATGTGTCTCCCTGTTTGATTTAATTCTCTTCTGTTAAAATCATGGACTTTCTCTTCTGCATCAACAGCCCAAATGTCCAATTTGATAATATAAAACTCTGGGCAGCTTTCCTCCCTCCATAACAGCATGTTTAGTGTAGTGCAGTAATTCTGCTGATAAATATCTCTTAAGCAGCTTAAGCTATTTTTTTGTTTTTGGATTAGTTGAGGCACAGGAGGCCACGTTTCAGCAGGGGTGTGTGGGGAGAGGGAGGAGGGGGGTGGGAGAGAGAGACAACTGGGAATGGATTGAGGGGGTAGAGAAGAGAGTGTGTCTCCTCTACCATTTTGAGTGTGTGTGTGCGTGTGTGGGTGTGTGTATGAAAATTGCACAGTCTGAGTAGATCTTTGAAAAAATCCTACA